TATATGTATATATGAGGGATTCGTTTACTCTAGGAGTAAGTTTACCTATACTTATTCAGTTCGATAACTCATGTTTTACATCAAATTTCAACGATCCAACCGTTGAATTTAAATTTCTTTATGCACAGATCAAGTTTGTAAATTTTTAATTTTTTTTAAAATTATTTAATACTTTGTTTCATTAATTCAAATCAATGTATAAAATGATTTTATGATTATCTGTCAATTTGAATCAATAAAATGAAGTATTAAATGATTTTCAAATTTTTTTAAGAATTTGCAAACTTAATTTATGCATTAAGAACTTTAATTTCAACGGTTGGATCATTAAAATTTGACATAGAAGATGAATTATTGAACAGAGTAAGTGTACCTAAACTTACTCCATAGATCAAATTTGCAAATTTTTAAAAAATTAAAAATTATTTGATACTTCATTTCATTAATTCAAATAGGTATATAAAATCATTTTATGATTCTATCAATTTGAATTAATAAGACGAAGTATCAAATAATTTTCAAATTTTTTAAAAATTTGCATACTTGATCTATGTATTAAGAATTTTAATTTTAACGGTTGAATTGTTAAAATTTGATGTAAAACATGAATTATTGAACGAAGTAAGTTTAAATAGACTTACTACTAAAATAAACGGATCTTTTCTCATATATATATATATATATATATATATATATATATGATAGAAGATTGAACCCTAAAATTAAATAAAGATATAAGTTCAAGGTAAAATCTTTTAAAAAGTTATTAAAGAGGCGAATATTATCGTAATGCACTCATTGCTATTCTTATACCACCACCATTTACTAGCTCCAACAATGCCAAACTCCTATAGTCATATATTGGCATTCAGCCCTAAAATATACCTGCCAAAGGTTTTTGAGATAACAAATTGATGCCAAAAAATTTCAAGAATAAAAAAAAACTCACCTTTAATTTTGATGACTAACTAGACCGCGGACTGTACGAGTGATGCACGGGTAAATTCTAGAGGATGTTATAGTATATTGACATCTTTATAGTGTTTAATTTTTTTTTTAAAAAAAGAAGATTTCGTAGTATTCACAATCTTATTGCAATGAAAATGAACTGATTTTGCTGTTGTAGAAAAACAAAAAGATTTCATTGGTAAAATTTCTATAATAAGGAATCTAATTTAGTACATTACTATGGAAGACTAACGCATGAAATGCATTTGATTAAATATATTTGTTGGTAAGAAAATTTGATGAGGATGTTGGATATCTACATTTTATAAACAAAATATGTACTCATCGTAATATATAACATAACAAAACTGCAGTTAATTAAATATGTATAAAAAAATAAAAATGACTATCTAAAAAGGAAGTCTTTTAATTAGTTATCTAAAATATAATGCTGTTTGGATAATTTCTATCAAAGCGTCTAACACACGTTTTAGTTTTGGATCATTTCTAAGATGAATAATATATATTTTTTCTATCAAGTCTATAGCATTACTAAAATCCCTATGTCTACTTGTTAAGTGGCACTTATTCTTTGTCTTATGCTACCATTTAAGGTCGCAAACCTACCTTCTGTTGTTTTCATCTTCCAACACACATGTTTTACATTTTGTAGGAATGTCACAATAGTAAAATTAACTGCAAAATCACTCCAATAATTATATCATAGTTAATTCATAATGTTCTTTACACATCAATCAGAATTCAAATACCTAATCACATACTTAAAAAAAATAAGGTTATCTATATTGATCATGTCATATCTCATTGGTCATCTTAAGTTTGCTTACCAAGATAGGTCATTTTTGTTAAAGTGTATTTATTTAACCACGCTAGGCTTCAAGACATCCAAAATGACTTAAACCTAATATGCTAACTTATTTAAGTCAATAATAATTTATTATTAAGCTTAAATATATTTTATCTCTATAAAATTAACTAATTTTGATTTTGATCTTTATAAAATTTTTTCTTTTATTTTTCATCCTTCTAAATTTTATAAACATTGTTTTCGATCTTTATAAAATAAATAAATTTTGATTTTAATTTTGATAAATTACTTCTTTTATTTTCATCCCTTTAAAATTTAAAGTCCCTAAGTTTGCTCCTCAAATGTTACTTTAAAGTAAATAAATAAAAATTATTTTAAAAATTTAGACAAAATTTTAAAGGTATCAAACATTGATATATTACTAACATTAGTGGATAACATCTAAAATGATCACTTAACCTTTTAATAAATAATAAATTGTTAAAAATGATAACAAAAAACAAGGACTAAAAATAATATTTTCAATTTTAAAGAGATGAAAAACAAAAATTTATACACAGACCAAAATCAAAACTAACCAATTTTATAGGATTAAAAACATATTTGAACGTTAATATTATTACATTTTGAAATTAAATATTTATTAGTTTATTAAAGACTTACGCTTAATGCCTTGCATATTAATTTACACCTATTAGCCTATGTAGATGCTTTTTAATCTATTTAAAATTAAAATGTCTTGATACAAAATAAACTTTCAAATTATGCCATTGCCATACCAAGCTTTTTAAATGGTCGAATCTAGGTAGTCACATGCCCACTCTTTTAATAATAAATCCCGGGGGAATAGAATCCTGATCAGGAATGGTTTTGAAGTGCACTTGGAATAATGAACAAGTGCAAATCTACAATGCCTTTAAAAGTAGACCTTTCTATCACATGAAAGGATCATAGGGATATATGAGATTCCCATGGCCACGCTAGGACCTCACGACATTATAAGACAAAATTTCACTCTCCAAGACACTCGGGGATGGTGGCCATAATTTTGTTCCAGCACATTCTCGTATGCATTTTTTAGCGCTTACAGCGCAGACCATAGCCTCTTTTAGGCAGTGGATTCGACAATGAGAAGTATCCCTATTGATGTCTCTTTAAGCTCAATATCAATTACTCCGCAACACTTCCGTTGATATCTGAAAACAAATACTCTCTTACATTGTGAATATTTTTCTTCCACATCAAGCACTAAGACTCTTCAATCTGAAGTAGCTTCAAAGATTCTGGACCAACAAGGAATATACGTCGTGAGGTTTGATATCTGAAAACAACTACTCCTTTGTAGGCTGTCCTGGGCACGCCATCCTGGAAATAGTCGAATACAGCGAAAAAATGAAGGGCAAAATTAGATCTATCCACAAGAAGAAAAAGGCCGGGGGTGGGGGGGGGGGGGCTGTACGCACAACTAAACTACATATAATCTTACGAGCATGGGCAGATGTAACCAATGAGTTCAAATGTAAGTTCAACCTTGTATACAAAATAACTGCATTTATTATTCACCATCCTACCCAACCAACAAACCAAACGAATGTAGAAGAACTTCTGAGGAATCCTTAACTTTATTGATC